GTGTATACAAATTTATTCTATAAATATACCAAATTCACTTATCAGTTCATAATTTGGTTTTAGCTATGCATGTTTGTGTGCAAGTCTTTTTGTGAACATTCATTTTTATTACTCTTGAGAATATCTGAAGGAACAGGAGTTTTGAGTTTAAAGTAGGTTTATGTTTAACTTTATAAGACAATGCCAAATAGTTTTCTAAAGTGGTTGCTCATTTGAAATTCTAGTTCATATAATTTCTAAGTGAACCACATCTTTGCCAATAAAATCTTTTTAAGCCATTGTAATGGATGTAAAGATGTAAATTACATGATTTTAACCTGATCTGTAATTCCTTGATGATGGATGAATTAGAACATCCTTCCATACTCTTCTTCACCATTTCATGAAATCTCTTCAAAGTTTTTGCTCAGTTGTTCTTTTTACAGTTGGTTTGTTTGTACCTGTTATGGTTGTGAGAGTTGTGAGAGTTCTTTATATATTCTAGATACAAGTCCTGTGTCAGATATAGAAAATATTTTCTCCTACTCTGCAGTTTGGATTTTCTTAAAAGGTTTTTTTCAAAAGTCAAAAGTGTTCACTGATTAAGTTCACATTAACATTTTCTTTTTAATTTATCAATAATCTTTTGTCCTAAGAAATTCTTGTCTACTCCTTAATACAAAATTATTTTTCTAGAAATTTATTTGTTTTGTGTTTACATTTTAGTGTAAGATTAATCTAAAATATTTATAATTCATCTGAGGTAGGGGTCAAGTATAATTTCACTCTTCCAAATATGTAGCAAGTTGTAATTGAAAACATCAACATTTCCCTTTGAACTCATTTGACAGATTTGTCTAAAAACAATTGACTGGCAACATTATGGAAATGGGGGACCTGGAAGCACTAGGAATCCTCTCCAGACTAGACAAAAATTACACTGATTGAATCTATCTTAGGTAATCATGTTAGAATTCTGAAGTGCATTGTAAAAGTGGCAACTTTCAGAAGACTTGGAAAATAAATTGTGCTTAACTGAGGTCAATTTCAGCTCTTAGACAAGTGGCAATGACCCATCTTCCACCATCAGTCACTGACAGACAGGATCAGAGATCCAGGCTCTGATTGCTGATTTCTGCTTCTGACTGCAGAGGAGCAGGAACAGAAGCAAAATGCCATTGTTGCAATATCTTCAAGAGAGGATTAAAAAATATATAAATACAAATCAGAAAGGAAGAAATAAAGATATTTTTGCAGACAGTTAACATGATATTATATGCAGAAAACCTAGAGATTACACACACACACACACACACAACCATTAAAACTAAAAAAATGAATGCAGCAAATTAGATACAAACACATAAAAATCAGTTACATTTCTATACACTAACAATTAACAATTTGAAAAAATTAATAAAAATTCCATTTAAAATAGCATTAAAAAGAATAAGATACTTAGGCATCAACTAACCAAGAAAGTGAAAGAAATACACTAAAAACTACAAAACATTACTGAAAGAAAATAAAATACATAAACAAATGAAAAGACATCCATGTTCATTGAGTAAAAGGTTTAATATTGTTAAGAAGTCAACACTGTCAGAAGAAAGGTACAAATTCAATGTTATTTCTATCAAAATCTAAATGTGAGTTTTTACAGAAAAAGAAAAATCCATCCTAAAATTTATATGGAATCTGAAGGTACTACAATTAACCAAGTCTTTTTTGAAAAAGAACAAATCCAGGTGCCACACATTTCCTATTTTCAAATTTATCACCCAGTTACATTAATCAAAAGAGTGTGGTACTGACATAAAGACAGACACACAGACCAATAGGGGGAAAAAAAAAAAGAAAGAGGCCTGAAGTAAAGCCTCATATATGTGGTCAAATGCTTTTCAACAAGAGTGCCAAAACACAAACGGTGTCAGGAAAACTAAAGGTACACCTGCAAAAGAATGAAGTTAGAACTTTAACACCATATACAAGCAAAAACAAGCAAACAAACAAACAAGAAACCAAAAAAAAAACCCTAAAATGCTCAAATGGCTGCAAGAGCTAAAACTAGAATCTCTTAGAAGAAAATATGGGATAAAATATTCATGACATTGAATTTGGCAATGATTAAACACCAAAAGTATAGCCAACCAAGGAGAAATAGACAAATTGAGCTTCATCAAAATAAAAAAAAAATGTAGGCATCATAGGAAACAATAGAGTAAAAAGGTAACCCAGAGTTCGGGAGAAAATATTTGCAAATCACATATCTGATAAAGGATTAAGCAAAAAAAAAAAAAAAGTGGACTAGAATTACATTTTACCCATTAATTCCACTGCTGGGATCATACACGCAAGAACTAGAAAAAGTGATTCAAGTATTTGTACACCCATGTTCATAGCAGCATCATTTATAGGGGCCGAAAGGTGGAAACAATCCAAATGTTCATTGTTAGGTGGATGGATAAACAAGGTTAACAAAATATAGTATATACATGAAATGCAATATTATTCAGTCATACAAAGGAATGAAATTTTTATACATGTTACAATGTGGATGAACCTTTAGTACATTATACTAAGTGAACTAAGCCAAACACAAAAAGACAAATACTGTGTAATTCCACTTATATGAGTCAATACATAGGGTCAGCAAATATACTAGTGGTTACCGGGGACTGCGGAGAGGGGAGCTATGGGGAGCTGTTATTAAATGGGGACAGAGTTTCAGTATGGGATGATGAAAATTCTGGAGATGAATAGTGAATCTATTCAATGTCACTGAAACGTACCCTTAGAGATGGCTGAAATGACAAATTTAATGTATAGTTTACTGTAATTAAGAAAAAGGAATTGACCATATAAACGTGAGAATTTCTGGAGTCTTTATAATGTTCCATTGATTCATATGCTTATACTTAGGGTAATATCACATTGCATTCATTATTGTAATATAGTTAAGTTCTGAAATCAGGAAGTATAAACACTCCAACTTTGCTCTCCTTATCAAGATTGTTTTAGATATACTAAATCCTTTGTATTTCCATGTAAATTTTTGGAATCAACTTGGCAATGACTGCAAAAACCTTTTGGGGTTTTGACTGATATTGAATGTTTGGGAAAATGTGAAAATTTAAGTCTTTAATTATGATCATGCTATATTTCTCCATTTATTTGTTTATTTATTTTCATTTTATTCATCACAGTTTTGCAGTTTTTAAAATAGAAGCTTTGTATATATTTTGTTAATTTATTCATGAGTTATCTTTGATATATTGTGAATTGCACTTTTTATGTTGTTTGTTGCAAATTGTAAACATTGAATTAACTTTGGACATCATCATTTCTAATAACTTGTTAAATTTACAGATTATTCTATTGGTTTGGTAAATGTCTTAGGGTTTTCTATGTATACCATTATGACTTCTAAAATAAAGCCATTTTCCCTCTTTTTTTCTGATTGTTACATTATTTCAATTTCCAGATTTGTTACACAGCCAAAAAATATTGAGTAAAAATGATGTTAATCATGATTCTCGACTTGTTTTCAAACTCAGAGAATATGCTTAATGTTAACTATAACATTAGTGAAAAGTGTTCATTAGATGGTTATCATATTAAGCAAGTTTTCTCTCATTCATCATTTGCAGGAAGTGTTGAGTGTCAAATTTTGTCAAATGATATTTTTTTCATATTTGCTAATGTTATCATGGGATATTTCTCCTTAATTCTGTCCAGGTTCTCCCCAGCCCTCTTTTCAAAAGAGAAATTAGATCTATGTATATTAGTTATTTCAACTGCAAAATTTAAAAGCAATATCAGTGTTACAGTGTTGAAATACTAAATTTTACAAATTACAGAACTTTATTGATGACCTGCAAAATACATTTATTTCAAAGAGTTATATAAAGTGTATTTAGTTAAAAACAGAAATGGAAGAAAGAAGGGAGGAGGGAAAGAAGGAAGAAAGAAGGGAAGGAAGGAAGGAAGGATGGGAGGAAGGAAGGAATCTAGTACTATTCTTTTGTTAACTAAAAGAAAGGACAAGCCCCATGGGAACAATTTAATCAACCTTGACAGCAAGGCCCATGATTTAGGATGATTTAAATGGTGCGTGACAAAAGAATAGTTAACAGTCTGCAAAATGTCCATTATCTTTAGTTAGTGAGGGTCTATTGATTTAGGACCCAGTGTGAATCCCATAGGATATTAGTAAGAAGTGAAGTGGAAAGTTCAACATTATTCACCACCAATAAAACACTCCAAGGTAAGTCTGTTAATAAGCTAAAAATTAAATCTTTGAGCTAAATTGCCACAAATGTCGGGGGAATCCAGGAAGCCAACTGTTTGATACTTGCTGTAATTTTCTTCTGAGTTCACACATAGCAACACTGAAGACTATGTCTTTAATGTTATTACCAAACAAATAATAAATTCTAAAACTTGTCCTGTTTTTGTTTTTTGTTGTTGTTGAATCTAATCTAATTTTACCTAAGGATGTCTTCCACAGTGGTACTTCAGTGGTAGTTAGAAGACCCCGGTGCAAAGCACTGACTCTGAGTTAAGTGACTGCTGTCTAAAGCCTTATGCTTCTCAGATGCCAAGAATTGAGTTCCACCTTTGCATCACCTCCAAAATCTCCACATGATGCAAGAAAGATTAAGGCAGGAAAATAATGCCCTGCCATACACTGTTAGAATAGCCATGCTCTATTCTCAGCTAGTCCTCTGTGTAGAAACGTAGAATGCAGTCTCTCATGATCAGGAAATATATAGGTGTCAGTCCAGTCAAATAAAGATGACTAGAGTCAATGAGATGTCCTCCTGCAGATGGACACTAAATGTGTGGCTGTGGACCCAGATATATGGGTATTTATACAAGAACCCTGCTCACTTAATAATGCAAACAAAAATTACACGCAAATGACTAAAAGTGAAAGAAAAATATATTAATAATATTCTGTGAATAAACATTTTAATGAGAAAAAACAAAAATCTTCAACAGAAGGGAAAGCTACTTACACCAGAATAGAAAGGCTCACCAGACACACATATCACATCCTGCTCCTGGATCATCAAAATATCTTTGGCTAGGTGCAGCCGAACTTTGAAAGGCTCCTGATTACCATCCTGCAGCAAACAAATCCCTGTCTTTGTCTTCAGACAAAAAAGAAAAACATAGAGAATATTATACTTAGTTTAAAATTATTATTGTATGGTTATTTACTGTAAAACATGATGAATAACATTTAAGATCTAGGGAAAATTCATTCTAATGAATCTGAAACTTAATACCTAATATAGGTACAGAAAAAAGGATAACCATTTCACATAAAGTAGTCCTCATATCACAGATAATAGAATTCATATCAGCAAATACAAATAAATGTTCAGAGAATAAGGAGTATAGTGTATGTACCATATTTGAAAAATAATGAAAATTTTGTTTAATGCTTAACTAAATATAAAATGTAATAGTTTTATGAATTACGATATAAATTCTATACAACGTAACCCTTCAGATTGTACAATTTAGTGTTTATTTTTGCACATTAAAAGTTGTACAGCCATCCTGACAATCAATTTTAGAATATTTTCATTACTTTAAAAAGAAACTTATTACTACCATTTTGCCAGCCCCTTCTTCAGGCCTAGACAACCTCTAATCTACTTTTGTCTTGATCATGAAATATTAAATTTGAAAACATACCTCCTTACGTCTTCTTTAACTTACACTATTTAATTATTTTTAGTAACCAACATACATGCACTCACACACACACTTGGTACAGATGAAGGAACAAGGATGAAGAGGTGATGGGAACTGCCTAAATTAATATAGTTAATTAAACATAGAGCCTGGTTTGAGACTCAAGATTCTTGATTTCCAATTCACTGTCTTGCTTCACACTTCTTTGGGAATTTGAAACAGTTGAGGATTTCTAGACTCATACTCCATAGTTTTAAACCAGCAGCCTAGTAATCATTGAAGAACTCCATGAGTCTTGTCACTCCTAAAGCATGTAATGTTGTAATATTTACTCAGATAAATAAGCAGAGTCTCCTTAGGTAGTTCACTTAATGTTTCCATTTGTCAGAGATATAAAATGAAATTTTTCTGAGACAGGATATGGCCTCTGGCTGTTATTTTTCACTAAATGAAAAGGAACAACAACTACTTTGGCAATTATATTTTTAATTGATAATTATTGAACTATTCTTAAGATGAAAAGCTCTTAGAAATACATATATATTCTTAGAATTTATAAGTACAAAATTTCATGCAAATAATACCAGGTTTTCTCTTGAAATAATATGTTTAATGCGGATTGCTAGAAGTTTCTTTCAAAGAATGTTCTATAATGTTGATAAGAATATGTTTAGATATAGCGTCCTCTAAAGAGAATTCTTTCTGTACACTGCTTTATACCATGTGCTAATACATACCATTTTACCCTCTATCACATATAATATTATATTAGTCTGTAATTTTGTAAGGGTTATGATATACTTTAAGAAAAACTAATGTTTCTCAGCAGCCCAGATGATTTTCTTTTCACCTCTATGAGACTGATGCACAGCAGGAACTCACTAATTTGTGTCAATTAATCTATTCTAAATCATAACTCCAGTGGGCATGTCTAGAAGACAAAAATATTTCAGTTATAATAAATTGCTTTTTATATAGAAAAGTCTCTTATGCTTACAATGTGATTTCAACCAGAAACCAAATCAGGACTCTCTGAGGTGGCATGGGGAAGAGAGTTGTATAAAGTAATATCAGAGTCAGATGAACATACTTGAGCACATTTGTTGAATTTTTCAAAAGTACAGTAAAATCAGGCCATTTTCTCCCAGAAATGTAAAGGAAGAAATGGCATTCACAAATAATGCTGTTTCAACTTGTGGACAAAAAAGGGGCTTTTCTCTGAAAGTCTATAAATACGTTATTGCTACATATCAAAGTGATATCACAGATCACCCAGGGAATATTTGAGGAACTAAAACAATTATGAGGCTAATCTCATCACATTATTTATGTAGTTAAAACTCCATTCACTCCACATTCAAATAATGTGTAAAATGTCTCCTAATTGTTATTTAGTTGCCTGGAAAACAAAATATAGATTTTGAGCTTACGTTTTTTTACTGAGAGGATGAAAAAATGAGGCAGTTTTTGTTGTTGTTGTTAGAATAAAGTACATCTCTATATACATATTGATACATTGCTCTATAAAATATATTTAATACATATCAATAAATAACTGTTTGAAAAAATAACAGGAAGACAATAAAGCTAACAACAAATTCAAGTTAACAATACATTATTCAGGGGTTAAAGATGTTATTCACATATATTCTATAACAATAATTCAGTTACTATAAAAGAAAATACATTTAAAATATCTACACACACATCAATTTTGCAAATATTGTGTAACATTAACAGAATCCTACATGAATTAGATAATGCCCTCTAAACTTAGAGTATTCTTGTTATAAAAAATATTCATATATAAATAAATGCAATCTGATATCAGAGATGGAGCAACATGGAGAGAGGAATTAAATATTCTTGAGGGATGAGGATGTTAAATGATGCTTTGTAAGTAGAAAAATGTGTGGTTTATCTTAAAAATTAAATGATATTTGGAGGAGGCAAACATTATTTTATTTAAGAGGAAAAAAAGTAAATATATGGAAGCATGACAATGCTTAGTTTATTTGATGCAAAAAGTAAGAAGCACACAAATGCATCCTTAATGCTGATCTGGTGAGAATCAGCAGCGGCCAAGGGAGACGTGCCAGCAGAGGACAAAGTGGAACAAGGCCCTTGTGGGATATAGCAGGGATCTGAAAGTAGTGAAGATGCCTTACAGAAATTACAGCAGCAAAATCATATATTTAGATGTATGCTTTATAAAGGCATTTTTAGTAGTAGAGTAGAATATGAATAATAATTTATAAAGTTAAAACAGTTTTTGTTGACAGAAATGTAAACCTTGAACAGGAAATGTTGTAGATTGTTAAACAATTGCATTAAATTCAGGGCTACTGTAGTAAATCAAGGAAAATGGATAAAATCCATTTCAGGGCACTCTCCTTGTTCAGAACAGCACTGTTGTACTGGTGCCATTGCTAATGAAATGACGTCCTATAGTATTTGTCGTTTAATTTCTTCTTATATAGAGCTTACTGTGTGTCCACAAATATTAATTTATTTTACCCTCCTAACAACCCAATGAAAGCTGTCTCACAGATTCAACAGGAGGAGAGGAGCAGGTGTCAGTGGGAGTCAGGATTTGAACCCAGGCGTTGGTCTCCAGACTCTGCCCTCTTAACCACTCTCTCCAGTTTCCCTCAGACAGAGCTTACTTGAGATATCCCTCCCCCAGTCCTTCCGAATACAGCCACGTGGCTATTGATGTCTTTCACCAAGTAGCATTTTGGTCACCAAGAACCTTCTATGGAAGCGACTGCAAAGAATACTGAGACGGACATCATCTTGAACTAGCTGTTCTCCAGGTACCAAAACAATGACCACTAGAGGTAAAATAAGATCAACAAGAGAAAACTCGGAGCTTGACAGCTGATTTTCCCATCAAATACTTGCATTTAGGGGAAAATAGAATGTTGTCTGAGGCTTGATCTACACACCCTAGTGCCCCTGGAATGCTTCCGGGATAAGAATAAGAAATGGGACAGTGACAATGACGACTATACAGCACAACCTAAAACAATCAGCCAGAAAGTCTTCACAGATCTGCGGACCCATACTGTTTAAAAATAAAAAGCAATTCTACATTTCAAGATTAAAGGGACATAGATTTTAATTTTCCAGGAAACACAGTTTGTGTTCTTTCAAACGTGAGAAACTAAAGAGGCGTTAAGTTTTACATACATAATGAATGATAGCCTACTTTTAAAAATTCCAAAATTACTAGATTTAAGCTAAGCATAAATTCTTAATAAGTTTAAATAAAAAATAACCCATACGATTTAAATAAAAAAAGTAATTACGGTCTCCCATTTTACACTAAACTTAAGATCTGGACTCTTCTTTTTCTTTATTAAATGAACAGTCATTTGTCTTTAGGCTTTGTTGACTGAGGATACTTTGCATAGGTGTTAAGAAATGTGTGTACTATTTATAATGTACAGCTATATTATGTAAACCCTAAAACATAGAAAACTTGATATTTTAAAAAAATAATTTATAAAAAATGATATAAATTCAAATGTTTTCTTGTTCCTGTTGGATGATCCTGCAGTGCAGCCGGATTTTATAAAATCCACATCGGGGACCTCAGTATTTGCTTTAGATGAATACCAAAAGGCAACATGATCTCGCCTATCAATGGAAGCTAATACACAAAACAAACAAGTGAGCAAAATAGAACTAAAGACAAAGAAATAAAGAACAACCTGACAGTGATTAGAGGAGAGGAGGAAGTGGGGAAAATGGGGGAAAGAAGGGGAAGGGTCAAGTCAAGGAACATGTATAAAGGACCCATGGACAAGCACAACAGCAAGGGGATTGAATGGAGGAGGGTGGGAAGGGCAGGAGAAAGCAATGTGGGAAAAATGGGGACAACTGTAATTGAACAACAATAAAATTTTTTTAAAAAGCAGTGCCTCTTAATTACTTAAAAAGTAATACTTTAAAAAAATCTAGTCATCGATTTGTTTTCTTTAAATCAGTAAACTATATTTATGAATTCATGTGAATTTACTTTTTGTTTTAAAAACAAACCTTATTTTTAAACTTATTAAGGATTTATGCTTAGCTTAAATCTAGTAACTTTGGAATTTTCAAAAGTAGACTATTATTGATTTTGTATGTAAAATTTAAGGTCTCTTCAGCTTCTTGTGTTTGAAAGACCACAAACTATGTTTTCTGGAAAATTATAACCTATGTCTCATTAATCTTGAATGTAGAATTTACAATATGAGATTCAAGAAACTATCAAATACAAGAAAATAGGCAAAGATCCTAATGCACTGCAAATATTCTTGTATGTCTCCTCAATAGTCCTATACTTTGATTGCCAAATATAATTTAATTTGTTTTGTAAAGCTATAGCTTTAAGTGATATGTGATTTCTTATACTGCACCATCGTAGCAGTAGTGCACTTAATACCATTTCATGCAAGGTTCAAGTGGAATTTTATCCTTTTCTGTCCCTTCCTACTTCTAATCATGACCTTCTCTGCTAAAATAACCTTTTTTCAAGAAGTAGTATAAGACTTGCTTCTCCTTGAAGCCTTTGGAGACCACTTTATCTGAACACGATTCTTTACTGTCCTGAACTTAGGGTTTTCATTACATGAAAAATAATCTGCCTAACAATCAATATTGTATTTAGGCATCACATATAGTATCTTCAGAAATGTTTAATTTAATATCATAATATTTAACTTCATCTTATATATTGTTATCTCAAGGAAATCTTAATGAGTTATTACTGTTTTTATTATTAAGAATTATTCATCTATAGGACCTAGAACCATACATATTATATTTATAATAGGATTTCTTTTTAAAAATATTTTATTTATTTATTTTAGAGAGGGGAAGGGAGTGGGGAAGAGAGGGAGAGAAACATTAATGTGTGGTTGCCTCTCATATGTCCCTTGCTGGCCATGTGCCTTGACTGGGAATCGAACTGGCGACACTTTGGTTTGCAAGCCAGCACCTAATCCGCTGAGCCACACCAGACAGGGCTCATAATAGGATTTCTTTCAATATGTGTTGATTGAATCCTAGTCAAAGATTATTTTAATGAGGAATTAAATTATATGTGTGCCTGAATTATTCAGTTATTAAATATATTTATGGAGAAATATTCATTTTTGTAATCAACAGAGATCTAAGTCATATTTGAAATAGAAGGAAAACCTATATAAAATAGTGTATTGCTTATTGAACACATATTATTTTTAAGAAACTTTTCAAAGCAGATAAATCAGTAATTATGCTTGATTGTGCATATATTTTAGATTTTTTAATTTGTTATAATTGCATTCCCTATTTCATTTTTGCATCTTGTCCTACTGCTAAATTTTTTATTTACTGATTGATTTTAAAGAGAGAAAAGAAATGAGAGACAGAGAAAGAGAGATAGAGAAACACAGAGTTGTTGCTCCACTTACTGATGCATTCATTGGTTGATTTTTGTACATGTCTTGACTGGGGATTAAACCTACAACCTTTTTTGTTTTTTTAAAAAAGATTTTATTTATTCTTGGAGAGAGAGGAAGGGAGGGAGAAAGAGACAGAAAGAAACATCAATGTGTGGTTGTCTCCCACATGCCCCGCCCTGGGGACCTGGCCCGTAACCCAGGTACATGCCCCAGCTGCAAATCGAACTGGTGACCCTTTGGTTTGCAGGCTGGCACTCAATCTACTAAGCCACACCAGCCAGGGCTGAACCTACAACACTGATGTATGAGGATGATGCTCGAACCAACTGAGATACCTGGCCAGGGTTTAGACTTGTATCTTCATTCTTGAAATAATTGCAACATTTTCTTTTTAAGAAGAGAATGTCTTTAAACAATAAATGGACCTCTTAAAAAATCTGTATTAAAAAATTAAGATGTTTTAAATGGAACTCTTTTGGGCATGTGTAGGAGAAGTCAGATGCAATATGGCTCCAGCAGTACGGGAATCTGGAAATGTCGGGCTTTGTTTAACCTTCTGTGACTGCTTAACTCTCTGTAGCTTCAGGCTTGGCTGTCTTCCCAGAAGGCCAGAATGCTTCCCCAAAATGCATATCATGCCCTCGGGAAGGAGGGTAATAAACTCATAGAGTGTGGATAACTGCTTGATATTATCTGTTAAATTAGAAATGCATTGTTCTTTCTGTGGTCTATGCAATTACTCTTAATATAGTTCTACTATTAACCCCCAACAAAAAAGAGACCCTGTCCTGTGAGGGGTATGGATTTCTTCCCTACCAGCCACCACTGGGAGCAAGCAGCCTCTTTGCTCATGTATGAAAGTTTCTCCGAACAACATTCTAATGAATTTGAATAAGGTTGTGTGTCAGTTCTTTTGAATCCATCCTGAATTTGGACTTTTGGGGCTTTCCCCCCAAAAGCATGCTTCTTTTCCTTTTCAAAGAAAAGATTTTCTGGAATCAGCACTGTGATATTGTAGCTAAATCTGTCTGATAAACATGGATGGTAGATTTTTCTCTTTAATGGCTTCTTAGCAATCAAGACAAAACAAGTTTTATTTCATGTTATCTGAGGATATACTACAATTTCCAGCAATGTAGTACTTTACACTGAAGCCCAAACTTACAAATTATATTTTGCTTTTAATTAATTAAATAAGTGGTACTCAGCATTTCATAAAACCTTTCGATTTCTTCATCTGCTAATGACAGTTAAGCTAAATTATCTGTATGAACACTGTCCACTGAAATGTTCTGATGTTGTAAATTACAGGTAAACTCGTTCATTTTGTCTGACTTCAGGGAGATGTAATCATCTTCCAAGGACCTTAGAACTCTCTATTTCTTCCAATTCAGCCAGCATGTGGAAGACACAAGGGCACTGCTGCTCAGCACTTCTGAGACACTTCTACTTTGTGGTGGGTACGCTTTAACTTTAGATAGAGATTCTCAAAGAGCTCATTGCAATAGTGCAGAAAAACACTACTACAGAAGCAAGGGTAAGATGATCAAAACAGTATTACCACTGTAAAATACATCACCTGAACCATAAACAGAATCTGTTGTATATTCTGAATCAATAAATCAGAACAATTTTTTTTAATAAAATATAAAGAAGATCTGGGAAAATCAGTCTTATGCTAGCCTGATTTGGATCTGAAGTCCAAGGTAAACCATTTGTTAAAATAGCTTTTGGCCATAATCCAGTCTCTACACCATGAATTTCATATGTGTTTCATTTGTGTTTCATTTACACAAATATCCATTCAGTTTCAATGAGTGATTTACCACTCAAGATATAAGATAACCCTTTGATAGAAATAGTAGACTTACTACCTTCAAAATTAAAAGTATTATATGCATTTAAAACAAAATAATACTGAAATTTTTGCTTCTAAATTTAAGCTTCTAAAATGTGAATCCAATTTTATGAAAATTTATGAATTGATAGGTGTTAAAAGGATGAATAAGGTATATACACTCTGATCTTAGTGTGCAGTGCTTATGAGAGACATAAACAAATAACTATAATGTAAGACATTAAGCATTAAAAATATAAAACAACTTATTAATTTTCTGAATGAAATTAGGTTTTAAACTATGAACTGTGACAATTTTTTTAAAAGAAGATATTTGCTAGAATTTTAACACATGACACTTCATTAAAGAAAAAATATTGACAAATGTTAGTAACTGAAGGTTTTGTTGGTTTGTTTTAACTTTATAATAGTAATTATAGTTACCTATTATACAAAAAATAGTTTTGTTTGCTTTTTTCCCCCCTCAGGTTTTTTACACACTAAAAATGTTTTAAACTTTTTAAGTACATGTATGAAATGTTTTAACCTATGAATGTTAGCATTTTACCTGGAGGATGAAAAGAAATGCTTTGAATGCCCCTTGTTTAGTTAAAAAAGATCAACTTTCTTCCTAAAAAAGAATACTTACATTCCCTGGAAGCCCAAGTCAATGTACTTTGCACACTTGAATGGCCTTAACTATCACCAACTCATACTGAAGTTTGATGACAGTTCTACAGAGAATCCGAATTGCCATGTATTAATTCTCAACTTACATCAAGAAGACAGGCACATGCGCATTTGCCTTTATTAAATTGTCCTTCTCCATAAACTAGGAACTGAATGATTTCAGGTAGTAGAAGTGTTGAAACATATCCTACCTACTCTGTAAATAAAATAAACCCATCACACATCCTTCCACCAAAAGTGATGTTCCATTTTAATAAAGGAGGGACAAGTGTTTCCTGTTTATAAAATTTGAAAAGCACAAAACCATTTAACTTACCTCTTCACAGGCAGTCCTGAAATCCATGTGCTATGGCACTGCAAAGGATTTTGTCTGAAAAGAAAGAAATGGTAAGCCATTGAGCACAGCATCGAGTGAGAAAGAGAATATTAATAAAGTATGAGAGATTATGAAGCAGATTCTGTGGGCACTCTATGTTTATGGACACCTGCATGGAACAAGAATTCCCAGGGTAAAATGATAAGAGAAGGAAGAGTTGAAATAGTCTGAATTGCTGCTTTTATGAAGTACAAAGAGGCTGCCATGGTTTGGTGTGATGGAGAATATGCATATCAGTGCTTCATTTTGCTCAGCATTCAGACAGGATCTACACATGGTTAACTTCCCTCAAGTGTCAGCTTATTCCCAACACTCATTTTGAAACTTCAGTTAGCAAATGGGAATGAGACTTCAAAAGGAGTAATTAAAAGTTGACTTTCATAAGGTTATCTATTGAAAGAAGGTTGACTAATCTTTCTGTTTTTAATTAAAAATTACATGCATGGATAATTCTCTCTAGAAGTTAAATTTTTTTTTCACAAACAATATGACATAATGAAGTAAGCTATCAGAATGAATAATATTAAGATAATATTAAGATACTGTATAAAATATACTCATATAATACAGATTCATTTTATGTGCTTATGGACACTATAGTACCTAAATGGTGGGCATGAACTTAAATGTAGAAAAACACACTTAAATTTTGTCTTTTTGAATATTGTTAGAGAGTTTAAGTCATACTATAAACTTAATAACACTAAGAACAATCATCAAAGTTTATATCCTGACGATAAGAAAATGCAGAACCTAACTCTAACCCTAACCCAACCCTAACCGTAACCCTAATCCTAGACCCTGTGTTCATTACTGTGTTATTTACAATTGCCTAGATATGGAAGTAGCCCAAGCATCCATCAATAGATGAGTGAATAAAACAACTATGGGACATTTACACAGTGGAATACTACTCAGCCATAAAAAAAGAAGAAAATATACTTTTGCAACAGTATGGATGGACCTGGAGAATATTGTGCTAAGTGAAACAAGTGAATCAGAGACAGGGAAATATCATATGATTTTACTCATATGTGGAATTTAATGAACAAACTGAACTAACAAGCAAAATAGAGACAGATTCGTAGATAGTAGGATGACAGCTATGGGGAGAGATTAGTGGGTGGAGGGATCTAGCAAAAAGGAAAGAACATGGACAACAGTATGGTGTTTGTGGGGTTAAGGAGGAAAGGGGGGTATATAGTAATGGAAAAATACAATAAAATAAAAAATAGAATAAAAGTTGTTCAAATTTTTTTATTTCTAAAATTTCCTGAGACTCTTTTTGTATAAACTTCTATGTTGACACAGCTTTCAATCTACAGAAATTTGTGAAAATAGAACAAAGTTTTTATATAACCCATATTTTTTCCACTTTTATTAACAACTTACATTTGTGTGACACATTTGTAACATTTAATGACCCATTATCAGTACGTGGGTAAAAGACATAAAGATATTTGTGTCTCATGTGATCACCAAAGGGAGAGTTAGACGAAAATTTTAAAAATCAAGTGAACTGAATGAACTGCTTTGGGGCTACCAGTCAGACCCTTTCCCCATCCACTCTTGTTATTGTCCAAAGGACAAATGAATAAAGGAGCATTTAGGGCAGGAATGGAGTCTATTCATGGACTAAGTAACATGGACTTCCCCACACCAAGGTCAGCATAGCTGTAGTCACTGCTCAGTAATGTTCCAGCAGCGGAGATCAACACAATCTGATCAAGCACCATCCCTTGAGATAATGAGCCAGCTACCTGGTAACAGGTTAATATTATTGAATTACTTTAATATTGGAAAGGAGAATGTTTTCTTCTTACTGGAATAAACACATTGGATGTAGATATGCCTTTTCTGTATGCAATGATTTTTCTAAAACTACCATACACAGACTTACAGAATGTTTTATCCATTGTCATGGTATTCTGTACAGCATTGCTTCTGATGAAGAAACTCAACAGCAAATGAAGTGGGGAAAAAGCCCACACTCATGGAATTTATGTATTTCCATATTCTCTACCATCCAGAATCAAACTAGCTTGATAGAACAGTGTAGTGGCTTTTTGAATACTCAGTTGTAGTATCAGCTAGGTGCGATAGTATCTTGCAGGGTGAGAAAAAGTTCCACAGAATTCTGTATATGCTCTAATTTATCATCCAATACATGGTGCCCTTTCTCCTGTAGTTAAAATTCATAGGTTCAGGTATCAAGGGATGAAATGGGAATGGCACCATTCATTATTGCCTCAGTTACACACTAGCAAAATTTATGCTTATTCTTGTGATATGCTTTGCTGACTTAGTGGTGTTCATTTTCAGATACGGTATGTGGCAAAATGACTGCAGTCAATAAAAGCTACAGGAACGGTCAACAAGGAAGTAAGACCACCCCCTACATGATTTATGGCTTAAAACTGGTAAAGACCAGCTGGATCCAACATGGTAACTAATTTAATCTACTACCAACACCTAGCCTCATTCTACGCTCTTTGTAATACGTTAGCATGTTAAACAACATACCCTGTGACACCATAATCAGAAATGAAAAGCCCAAATAAGGACACAAAATGGGCAATGAAGCTCTTCTGAGGAACATCCACCTGTTTTCCAGGAAGATCCTATATATTTCTCCTCTTTACTGAATACACTACCCCTCATTAAATGAATCCCAATAAAGGAAACAAATTTTACTAAAGGGAGGATGTTCTGCAGCCCACTCTCTGCATCACTGCTTCACTAATAAACTCACTTTCACTTTAAATTCTATGCTGGCAGAAGATTTAGTTCTTTCCTTTGTAAAACCAAGAATGCACAGTGGTTCTCAGAACCTTATGTCCCCAGGCACTGGAAGGCTTGCATCATCTCCAAAGGGAGGCACGCTTCCAGCAAGAGACACAATGATTCCATTGAACTGTAGGTTAAGAGTGTTACCTGGACACTTTGGACTTCTCATGACTCAGAATCACCGTACCAAAAAGTAGCTACTCCTTTGGCAGGGGTGATTGAGCCTGACTACCAAAGGGAATTGCACTGCTACTCTACAGTGGAGGAAAGGAAGCATATGCGTGGAATGTGGGAGATGCCGTGGGGTCTTTCTTAGTATCACTATGTCCTGTAAATAAATTCTATAGAAAACCATAGCAACCCAGTCAAGGCAGAGCTGCTAATAAATGGTCCAGACTCTTCAGGATTGAAGGTTGAGATCACTTCATGAGATAAAAAACCATAACCAGCTGAGGTGCTTGTTGATGGCAAAATAATGTACAAAGGACAATGGAAGAAGACAGCTATAAATACCAGCTAGGACCATATGTAATTGTATTTCTTCCTTATTTTGTTAATATTTTTTGTGTCTATTATATATGTATAACATATAATTATATATAAATATCTTTGTTTTCTTCCCTCTCTCATCCCTTTATCATCCAATCATCTAACAATTTATTAATAATATCAACCTTTATATTACAACATGTAAATTACAGTATATTAAGGAGAAGAGTAAATATCACTTAAAGCCTTTGTATTCCCTTTAAATAATATGGTTGGTGTATTTTACGTTGTGTAAATCATAATTGTATTGTCTTGGTTAAAAGCAGGACTTTATGTTTTTTATTTGGAGGTTAAATAGGATAAAGGGATGTGTTTTGTGACAAGCTGACAAGGAGTGGACTGTCATGGTTAATTTTTATGTGTCAAGCAGGCTAGACTAGTTATTCAGCCTAGTATCCAACTAATCAAACACTAATGCAAGTGCTGCCATGGAGTTATTTTCTAAACAGAGCTAACATCTACAATCAGTTGACTTTAAGTAAATGAGGTTATTTTAGATAATGTAGGTACACCTCATGCAATCAGTTGAAAGGCCTTAAAACAAACTCAGACATTTCTCTGAAAAATTCTGCTTTAAGGCTTCAGCTCCAATTTATGTCCAATAATTTTCAGCCTTCTAGCCTACCCTATGGATTTCGGACTTGTAATTGCCACAATGGTGTGAGCCAATTCTTTGAAATAAATGGCTTAACACATGTATATAGATGTCTAAGTATCCAACTGGTTCTATTTTTCTGGAGAATCCTGGCCTCCTAACTGATAAATGTTGTATGCCAGTTAGGTTTTCTATTTATTATGCAAAATTATTGTTGCAATATTATTGTTATAATGACTAACTGACAAAGCATGTGTCTGGGTATATATGAAAATCCATCAAGCACAACTAACAAATAAGGCCAATTTCTATAACATTCATTTCAGAATATTTTATATACTAATCATGTCTAAGTTGTACTATCAAAAATGTGAGAGCACTTCATTAGTGCAGTTGGTTCAATAACAAGATGTTTAACTCATAAAGCCATTAAAAATTTCAAACTTCCTTTTCTCACAAAAGAAAATGTCTCTCTTTTTTTCCCCATAAGGAAAACATTAAGTCCATATTTTTTTTCTATTCAGATCTGAATTTTTTAGAGCTTTGTTCATATGACTATTTTAAAATAATTGATCTATATTACCTTACAATGCAACAAAATATACATCTGTCAAATGTTTTTATCTCTATCTAGGGATAAATATAAATAATTTACTGTTTCATCCATATATATTACAGTTTTACAAGGGAAAAAATAAAGCCTTTATGAAAATAAATTCCTTAAAATATAATTAGAAAACATCATCACTTAATATACGGAGATGAGAATCACAATGCATTAGTAGCTTTAGTAAAAAATTGTAAAATTAATTTTAGTGTTTACAAAATCACAATATATGTGACCTACCTCATTCTTGGTCCATTTAGAAGCTTCATGATCAGTGTAGTATTAAATTACACAGCATAGAAAAGCCCTATAGCCTAAGGAAACGTGTTTCTACCATTATTATGAAAGTGACCCAACAAACAATGGAGACAGCCTGGTCCCTGCCCAAGAGGAGGAACAGTGGAATTGAATACTCCTGAGGGCCTACCGGGCGCTCTGTGTATGTGGCATGGTTCA